TGGTGGTCGGAACTTCCGGGACTGATCAGCAAGTTTAAAAGATCCGAGGAGAGATTGGAGCTCAGGAACTGTAGATACCTCCACACCCGAGGCTGGTGCAATAACGGTGTTAAGAGCAGCCAGGTTGGTAGACAGTGTAGAACCCTTAAGCTTCCTGGAGGTTCGAAGAAGTTGAAGGTACTCCGCAACCATCTGTGGTGACGCCATATACCCTTCGTCCTGCAGTATGCTTCAAAATTCTTCCACTGGTCATCATAGAGTGATCTAGTGGAGGTACACCTGTGGATGTAGCTTCCACTCTGTCGGAGAGGGACGAATCGGACGGGACAGGGAATCCGCAATGACGTTCTTCACTCCTGGAATATTGTTGGCTCGAACGGAGATGTTGAGAGTGTCCACCAACTGGAAGAACCGGTGTCCACTGCAGGAGTTGAGGAGACCCTGTCGTCCTCATCCGGTTGATGTGCAACACGACTGCTGCATTGTCCGACCGGACCATGAGAGAGGTCGATCCTAGAAGTTCTTGCCAGTGAGTGATGGAAAGAATCACTGCCCTGCCCTCTAGAATGTTCATGTGGCAGGCGCGAACTGCGAGAGACCACCTCCCTTCCACCTGCTGATCGAGAAAGTGAGCCCCCCACCCGTGTAGAGATGCGTCCACGTTCACGTGTTGAGTCGGGACCAACAGCCTTAAAAAAACTCCTCCGCAGACATTCAATTCATCCATCCACCACTGGAGATGGGGATGGAGCGCTGGAGGCAGGACAATCAACACACGAGGGGTTGGGTGGTGCGCATGCACTGGTTAATCTCGGATGAGTTTTTGAAAAAAATCACAACTAGGTGCCCGTACTGCCCTGTCAGGGAGTAAGTTCCAGTCTTTATTATCCTTGGGTAGAAGGATTGCTTCAATGGCTCTGTGTTACACTGCATGTGTTTAAAGTTTGGTGTATAATGTTTCCGGTTCTGGTGGTGTTGGGGATCAGAGTTGATCGTTTGGTAGTGCCACTAGCCCATTCACTATCTTGTAAAGTAGTACAAGTCTTGTTCCCTGCGTTGTCTTTGAATGGTTTTAAGCCAATGTCTTCTAGCATCTAGCGTCACTACTAGTAGGGGTCCCATAAAGTTGAGCAATATTCCAGTACTGATCTTACAAGATTGATTAGCTGTGATCTTTAGTGTTCTGAAGGTGATGAAGGTTGTGCAATCGGTGATCGCAGGAACGTTAAGTTCGCCAAATGAAGTGTTGGTCCGCCGAATGGAGTGAGAAAAGGTAGTAGATTCGACGCATGGGGATCTTCAATCTGCCGGAACATTCGTAAAGTTGATGGAATAGCAAAGGTACAAGACCGGTGATCCCAGGAGTGGTCGTAAGGGAGACAAAGGCAGTAAAATCGATGCTTGTTGATTGTCAGGGCATAACTGCAGTGACCTCTGGACTGAGGGCTTACACTAATGTAGAAAACTGAGTATCTCTCGACTGACTGACGAATCTCGACATAGTCACTCTTACCGGGAATGGCACCATCCAACATCACTGGCAATTAAAGGCTGGGATAGCTATCCGCTTCGTGGGACCAAGACAAGTCAGTCCGGACACTTCATAGTCACTCCAATCATCAAAAGTCTCCGGTTAACAAACAGTAGTCCGCCATTTGCAATAGTGACAAAAAAAAACGACACCACGGTCTTCGGTTAACCAGGCGAGTCCCAGAAAATCTGGGTTAATGGACGCTAGCTACTTGACAAAACCTCACTGTTGGTACCCCATGCAGAAACTGTGCATACTAGACCAGCTTGATACTCAGGAATATTTACGACGCTTCACTAAGTCTTGTTACTACAGACTACTCGTAGCAGCGTTATGGTGTATCGCTGGGTGTAATTATGGCCTGTTTCGTAACTTCAGCACCCTTCCTTTACATCAACAAGTTCTGACAGATATGTCAAACTCGATAGTTGTAAAGCTGACATCTGCGTCGAAGGGTGGAGTTGTTGAATCGAATCATTCATCCAAGGTGAAGATCTGAAGGTAGATGACGGAGGAATTTTAAAGATCCGGGATCGTCAATTGCCACCGTAATGAAGAGGCCTGCGCTACTGACATAACTACTACCTCTTTACAACCAGCAGAAACGATGCACTAACTGGAAGCGTAGCACTAGATGGAAGCGTTGATACATTAGAGAGCGGCGCACTGGAGTAAAACATCACTCTGGATACGATCGGCGCTTTAGGGCAAAGCGTCGCACTGGACTGAAAACGGCATATTGGTGTGTAGAGACCAGCCAATCAAAAACCCAAGGTACTCTCTGAAGCGCCGAACTGAATGAAAGCGCCAAATAGGGACAAAGCGGCGCATTGGTGTGTAGAGATGAGCCAATCAAAACCCAATGTGCGCTCTGAAGCGCAGAACTGAATAAAAACACCGCATTGGAGTGATCGCACTGTCCGTACGTGAACACCGCAGAAGCAGGAAGCGTAACCCCAAAGCCAAGCTGAGCACCGGCAAACTGTAGAATGAGGCATCAACACCAAAGTTGGAAGTAGTGTTGAAGACAGACTCGCAGTAGAGAAAGTCACTGTAGGTAACGTAGTGTGCAAACTAGCAACAAAGTCATGATGACAGTAGGCGCATAGAGGTAACCAGATGATTCGGCGAATGCTGACAGTTCAGCGAACACTGTCGGATCGGCGAATACTGTTAGAGCGGCGATCTGGTATGGTGCAGCGATCTGGTATGGTTCGGCAATCAGGATCGTATAGGTGATCTGGTTCGAACTGTGATCCGGTTCGGCAGTGTGATCTTAAAGCGCTGAGTCAATCGAGACCGATGCACTCGTCTAAAATGTCGTACCAGACAGGAATGGTGTACTGGACTGCAAAGGTGTTCCGATCAAACAACAGTTCACTAGATTGAAACGTTGTTCTAATCGAAAATGGAACACTGGTCGGAAGCGTTGATCCAATCGAAAAGGCACGCTGGGCTGAAGTGTTGATCCAATTGAACGCGGCGCACTGGGCTAATGAGTTGGACCGGACGAGAGCGGTGAACTGAAGTGAAATCGGTGAACTGGCCTCTTCTTTCCTTTGTGAGAGCGACGCTCTGTAACAAAGTGCCGTAGCGAACTGAAATGACGCTCTGGCCTGCAGTGATGAATCAAACAGAAACGTACTGCAGTAGATCCGCTCTGGAGCGTCGAATTGTGTCAGAGCGATGCAATGGAGTACACTCGACCCATACATAATCGACGCACTGGAGCGTAACACCGAATGAAAGCAGTGCACTAGACAGAAAACGCCGAACTAACAGGGATTGTTGTACTTGATATCATCACTGGAGTTGGAGGGATCGCCGTAGACATGCTGGCACTACAATAAATCATTGTAGGTAAGTTAAATGCCGATACAGAAAATTAGAGACACATTGCCAGTCAGCGCTGACAATGCCGTATCAGGTGTTTGAGAAAAGTCACTACAGTAGAACTGTCGATCGGGACTGTGACGACGAAGTATGAAGTTCACTGCCGAGTAGGGGGAGTCATCCTGTCCCGACACTGGACTCGAAGTCTGGGTCGGAATACCAAACGTAATTCTTGCTGAGTTAGGAATCATTGAGAAATCTTCGTCCGGTGATGGTGATAAACGGCGAGCTGTTTAGTACGGACGATCTCACTTCGAATGTTGAGATGATGATGGACCCCCGGAAAACTTCCGACGATCCCTGTCTGCCACTCGTCTTGTATCCATTCCATGATAACAGGGAAAGCTTCATCGTCCAAATTGGCACAATAAGAGCAACGGTGAGGCCCGTCACACCTTCCGATACAATCAACGTACAGTATGTGAGGATCAGTGGCAGGAAAATCAAAAACTTCTGTAATTGTCACAGTGTTATCTCTACTGAGAAGACCAATTACTTCCCTCATGATAAAAAGTAGAGACACGTGGCAGACAGAGCACAACACATGTCCACAGCAGTGGGCGACAAGAAAGAGAATGACAAGGGCAGGCTGTCAGGTGATCATCGGAGGAATCTGCACCCCTATTGAGATGATTGACAGTGGAGTGGGGCAGAGGTCAGGTGTCAGAGGCCAGAAAGTTTGATTCAACTTAACCTACAGCACGTTTCCACACATGGTCAAAGAAGAGTGATGCATACCGTGAGACAGGATAAGTTTAAAAATTAAACATCTTCGGTTACTCTTCTTGGAGAGTCCAGAGAACACATAACAAAATTCATTTACTAATTAGCAGAGTAGAACATATTGATTTAACCTCATGATGCCAATCACAGTGATGATCAATACTGTTAGCCTTTGTTTTGGTGAGTTTTGAAAACATGTATCAGTAATTATTTTGTTACAAACATGTTACCAGGTATTTTCTAATGCCTATACTATATTCTGCTCAAAGCATTTAACTGTTAACTTTTAACATTGTGTTACAGTCACACCTCGTCTCACTTGATATGACAAATATCCAGACATATATTCAATTGATAGAAAAGTTCCCAGACTGGGCTTCATACTTTTATCAACATGTGTTGATATTTTTAATATCAAAAGACATGAGGGTGACAATTTTGTATCATACAACATAATTCTGACTCATCTATTTCAAGGCAATGTATTCATTTGTTTACCACATGCACTTTAAGACCATCTAGTAATAATTGAGAATAATTATTATGAAAATATCAAATGCATTTCTTCAATTTGTGACGGAAATGTTTCCAGCCTATCTGTTTGAAGTAAAGGTATGACATCTCTACAAAAACACTACTAATATTGTATTTATTATGTGTCTTCAGAACATCAACAGCAACGTTCAACGAAGAGTCGTGCTTGTGTACAAAGTGGTCAATTGTTAAGCCTGTTGACTGTTATTTCATCAAATTAATGGAATAAAATTAATGGAAACCTGTTTTTAAGTATAAAGTATACTAAAACCAAATGTGTGGATCTATCACAAACACACATACAACAATGAGATGATGGTACTGTTCAGCTGTTTACTTCTGCATCATGTAAACAATCCTGACAATAACAGACAATGTTTGAAAACTATTCTGTCATACAAAGTATACAAAACAATATCAGTATGCAAAAATAGACGAAATATTTTAAAGACATAAATCTTAGATAATAAGTAACAATGGTGTAGAAATACAGAGAACTGTGCATATCATACCATTACAGGTATCCAAGTAGCTTTCATGATGGACAAAATATAGATTGTTGTTACCATACTTGCTAAATGTCCAAGACTGGAGATTGTTACAATATAACGTTGGAGGTAAAGTTGTAGAATGTACACAAGGAATGCTGAACACTGGAGAGTAAAATCAATGTACACATGGGACAAGGCAACTTTGTTTCCAGCAGGTTGGCAGGTCCTAATATAACAAATCTTGGTTAATCATGATTGTCACTGACATACGTTTAAAGGCATTGATTTCAAAGCTTTTCGTTTCCCAAATGATTTTTCCAGACACTAATTTTACCACAGTTATGATAAAGCAACGTTTCTATACTCAACAGGATAGTTTTCCAGGCCAGAAATAAGTGCCTCTCAGCACAATCAGGTCCAGAACTAAGTACACCCAAATCAAGAGCTAAATGCCTCTAAGCACAACCAGAACCAGAAATAAGCGCCTCTAAGCACAATGCGGTCCAGGGCTAAGTGCCTCTAAGCACAATGCGGTCCAGAGTTAAGTGCCTCTAAGCACAACCAGGTCCAGAGCTAAGGGCCTCTAAGCACAATGCGGTCCAGAGTTAAGTGTCTCTAAGCACAACCAGGTCCAGAGCTAAGTACCTCTAAGCACAACCAGGTCCAGAGTTAAGTGCCTCTAAGCACAAACAGGTCAAGAGCTAAGTGACTCTAAGCACAAACAGGTCCAGAGCTAAGTGCCTCTAAGTGCCTACATTTGAACCAATCAACTGATATGACTAGCCACAGAAATTAAAGAGTCTTTCATGAAGAAGGTCATCATTCCAACCTGGCTTCCTTTTGATGGCCTGAACTACCATCAACATTCAGAGCTCAAAATCTTTACACAATGACAGACAGATGATGTGCAATCATAAAATCTCATACTGGTTTGTGACAAGTTCAGATGATAAAGTTGATATATACATTGTGATACATATCCTCCCCTGTAGTGTAGTTGATACATGAACGCATACACGTTAATATTACTTTTACACAAAGGTACAAGGTTTCGGTTATCCAATACTCGATCATGACAACCCTGCTCATGTCCAGCAATAACTACTTCATATAGGGACATGCCTTGGTGTGTATGTACTGGGGACTTCATAATTAAGTTTTGGGGTGGGTATATACATGACATCTCAGGGTAAAATATACCAAAAGCAAAACAAAGGTGTTTTAAAGCATTACATTTTATATCTTACAAGAAAGGAAATGAATATCTTGAATTCAAATAGAATCTTATCTTAATCTAAACTGAACAAGCTCTCATGTTGACTTGAAGTGCACATACGTTGTGTCCATTCTCCTTTTGATGCCTTATTTGGTGCCTTATTTGGTGCATTATATAACATCCAGAAATAAACATGGCTTTATTGATATTTTCAACATGTTTTCAGAGACAGTGAATGACAAGAAAGTTAAGATTAGTTCAAGATAAAACTGTGAATCTTCCTCCTCCTTGAAAGTTCTCAGATGTGAAAGGAGAGACCTGACCTTGTCAAACTTTAAAAAATCCTTGACATAGAACCAATCACTCTACACGTATCAATTAAGAGACAGGGGGTTTCCAGTGGTGTATAGTTACTATCAGGTATACAAGATCTCTAATGTTGCTATTGTCAAATGACTGTCAGCAGACATGGTCCTTTAGCAAGTGTATGCAAGGAAAGACTGAAGTATCAATATGAGCAACTTTCAGTGTCACACTTTCACAGTTACCAGCCAACTTGTCAGTTATAAATCTCAATAACAAATTTTGACATTTGGTAGACCAACAATGTTAAAGTCAATGTTGTGTGTCGGTGATGTACTAACCTGTATATGTCGGGGCAGTACTGTGTATTCTCCAACAAACAAAGCTACTCAGTCAACGATTGTGTCAGGACATCACAATCACTATCACAGACATACAGAGTGGTAAACAACCACTCTTGATCACCCTGAACTTTGAGTCTACTACTCACTATATGCTTAGGACCAAAACAGTCATCCTTAGTCAGTGGTGTGGTCGTCAGCAAATGAGTTTGATATATGGTGTGAAAACACTAGAAATCGTCATCTTCATTCTCGTAGCCGTAATTGTCAGCAAAGGCAGGTTGAGCTCTGGCCTTCAGCCCCTTCTTCTTCTTCTTGCTGCTGGCTGGGCGTTGGCCCTGGCTACTGTGGTCCCGGGTAAACCCATCTGCATCAGTGCGCAGCCTCTGTAAACCTGGACAAACATACACAAACATAACCCATGATGCTACACAGTGAACTATCTTCAACTACCACACAGAAACACCATGCAAATGCTAGAGTAAGCCTGAATTTAGAGGAATTTTGGAAGCATTATAAATTTTTAGACGAGAGCAAGTCTTTTAAACAAGCTGATTTTCTTAAGAGAAATGGATAAAAATGATATGAACATATGGTAAAACATTAATTTCTTTAGTACTTAAACATGCCAGAACTTGCAAGCATAACAAAGTTAAAAGGATAAATACCATTTGAACAAGTTTTTAGTAACATGTCCAGTGGGCCAAAAAGAACACTTATCCCTACCTTGTCCATTCTCTAAATTGAACTGCTTTACATCTGACAATATTTTCATGAAATTCTCATAGAGCAAGCTTGTTTATTTGTACATAAAACTCTTTTCTTGTTGATTCTAGTGCATGTTCACTGACCATATTCTTCATCTGAGTCATCTTGGGCTGCAGACAGAGAAGATTTGGCCCGCTTGATACCGGAACGCAAATCTTTGGCCAGCTTCTTGGCTTTTTCATCTCCAACACCAGTCTCTGTGGGCAGTTGACAATTCAGAGTACAGTGACCAACACCAGTCTCTGTGGGCAGTAATGACATTAGGAATCAGAGTACAGTGACCAACACCAGTCTCTGTGGGCTCTGTGGGCAGTAATGACATTAGGAATCAGAGTACAGTGACCAACACCAGTCTCTGTGGGCAGTAATGACATTAGGAATCAGAGTACAGTGACCAACACCAGTCTCTGTGGGCAGTAATGACATTAGGAATCAGAGTACAGTGACCAACACCAGTCTCTGTGGGCAGTAATGACATTAGGAATCAGAGTACAGTGACCAACACCAGTCTCTGTGGGCAGTAATGACATTAGGAATCAGAGTACAGTGACCAACACCAGTCTCTGTGGGCAGTAATGACATTAGGAATCAGAGTACAGTGACCAACACCAGTCTCTGTGGGCAGTAATGACATTAGGAATCAGAGTACAGTGACCAACACCAGTCTCTGTGGGCAGTAATGACATTAGGAATCAGAGTACAGTGACCAACACCAGTCTCTGTGGGCAGTAATGACATTAGGAATCAGGAGTACAGTGACCAACACCAGTCTCTGTGGGCAGTAATGACATTAGGAATCAGAGTACACCAGTCTCTGACCAAATGACATTAGGAATCAGGTACAGTCTCTGTGTGGGCAGTAATGACATTAGGAATCAGAGTACAGTGACCAACACCAGTCTCTGTGGGCAGTGAATGACATTGAGGTCTCTGTGGGCAATCAGGAATCAGTACAGTGACCAACACCAGTCTCTGTGGGCAGTAATGATGACATTAGGAATCAGAGTACAGTGACCAACACCAGTCTCTGTGGGCAGTAATGACATTAGGAATCAGAGTACAGTGACCAACACCAGTCTCTGTGGGCAGTAATGACATTAGGAATCAGAGTACAGTGACCAACACCAGTCTCTGTGGGCAACAATGACATTAGGAATCAGAGTACAGTGACCAACACCAGTCTCTGTGGGCAGTAATGACATTAGGAATCAGAGTACAGTGACCAACACCAGTCTCTGTGGGCAGAATCAATGACATTAGGAATCAGAGTACAGTGACCAACACCAGTCTCTGTGGGCAGTAATGACATTAGGAATCAGAGTACAGTGACCAACACCAGTCTCTGTGGGCAACAATGACATTAGGAATCAGAGTACAGTGACCAACACCAGTCTCTGTGGGCAGTAATGACATTAGGAATCAGAGTACAGTGACCAACACCAGTCTCTGTGGGCAGTAATGACATTAGGAATCAGAGTACAGTGACCAACACCAGTCTCTGTGGGCAGTAATGACATTAGGAATCAGAGTACAGTGACCAACACCAGTCTCTGTGGGCAGTAATGACATTAGGAATCAGAGTACAGTGACCAACACCAGTCTCTGTGGGCAGTAATGACATTAGGAATCAGAGTACAGTGACCAACACAGTGACCAACACCCAGTCTCTGTGGGCAGTAATGACATTAGGAATCAGAGTACAGTGACCAACACCAGTCTCTGTGGGCAGTAATGACATTAGGAATCAGAGTACAGTGACCAACACCAGTCTCTGTGGGCAGTAATGACATTAGGAATCAGAGTACAGTGACCAACACCAGTCTCTGTGGGCAGTAATGACATTAGGAATCAGAGTACAGTGACCAACACCAGTCTCTGTGGGCAGTAATGACATTAGGAATCAGAGTACAGTGACCAACACCAGTCTCTGTGGGCAGAATGACATTAGGAATCAGAGTACAGTGACCAACACCAGTCTCTGTGGGCAGTAATGACATTAGGAATCAGAGTACAGTGACCAACACCAGTCTCTGTGGGCAGTAAATGACATTAGGAATCAGAGTACAGTGACCAACACCAGTCTCTGTGGGCAGTAATGACATTAGGAATCAGAGTACAGTGACCAACACCAGTCTCTGTGGGCAGAAATGACATTAGGAATCAGAGTACAGTGACCAACACCAGTCTCTGTGGGCAGTAATGACATTAGGAATCAGAGTACAGTGACCAACACCAGTCTCTGTGGGCAGTAATGACATTAGGAATCAGAGTACAGTGACCAACACCAGTCTCTGTGGGCAGTAATGACATTAGGAATCAGAGTACAGTGACCAACACCAGTCTCTGTGGGCAGAAATGACATTAGGAATCAGAGTACAGTGACCAACACCAGTCTCTGTGGGCAGTAATGACATTAGGAATCAGAGTAGAGTAGTGACCAACACCAGTCTCTGTGGGCAGTAATGACATTAGGAATCAGAGTACAGTGACCAACACCAGTCTCTGTGGGCAGTAATGACATTAGGAATCAGAGTACAGTGACCAACACCAGTCTCTGTGGGCAGTAATGACATTAGGAATCAGAGTACAGTGACCAACACCAGTCTCTGTGGGCAGTAATGACATTAGGAATCAGAGTACAGTGACCAACACCAGTCTCTGGGCAGTAATGACATTAGGAATCAGAGTACAGTGACCAACACCAGTCTCTGTGGGCAGTAATGACATTAGGAATCAGAGTACAGTGACCAACACCAGTCTCTGTGGGCAGTAATGACATTAGGAATCAGAGTACAGTGACCAACACCAGTCTCTGTGGGCAGTAATGACATTAGGAATCAGAGTACAGTGACCAACACCAGTCTCTGTGGGCAGTAATGACATTAGGAATCAGAGTACAGTGACCAACACCAGTCTCTGGGCAGTAATGACATTAGGAATCAGAGTACAGTGACCAACACCAGTCTCTGTGGGCAGTAATGACATTAGGAATCAGAGTACAGTGACCAACACCAGTCTCTGGGCAGTAATGACATTAGGAATCAGAGTACAGTGACCAACACCAGTCTCTGTGGGCAGTAATGACATTAGGAATCAGAGTACAGTGACCAACACCAGTCTCTGTGGGCAGTAATGACATTAGGAATCAGAGTACAGTGACCAACACCAGTCTCTGTGGGCAGTAATGACATTAGGAATCAGAGTACAGTGACCAACACCAGTCTCTGTGGGCAGTAATGACATTAGGAATCAGAGTACAGTGACCAACACCAGTCTCTGTGGGCAGTAATGACATTAGGAATCAGAGTACAGTGACCAACACCAGTCTCTGTGGGCAGTAATGACATTAGGGAATCAGAGTACAGTGACCAACACCCAGTCTCTGTGGGCAGTAATGACATTAGGAATCAGAGTACAGTGACCAACACCAGTCTCTGTGGGCAGTAATGACATTAGGAATCAGAGTACAGTGACCAACACCAGTCTCTGTGGGCAGTACATGACATTAGGAATCAGAGTACAGTGACCAACACCAGTCTCTGTGGGCAGTAATGACATTAGGAATCAGAGTACAGTGACCAACACCAGTCTCTGTGGGCAGTAATGACATTAGGAATCAGAGTACAGTGACCAACACCAGTCTCTGTGGGCAACAATGGGCAGTAATGACATTAGGAATCAGAGTACAGTGACCAACACCAGTCTCTGGGCAGTAATGACATTAGGAATCAGAGTACAGTGACCAACACCAGTCTCTGGGCAGTAATGACATTAGGAATCAGAGTACAGTGACCAACACCAGTCTCTGTGGGCAGTAATGACATTAGGAATCAGAGTACAGTGACCAACACCAGTCTCTGTGGGCAGTAATGACATTAGGAATCAGAGTACAGTGACCAACACCACCAGTCTCAGATGTACAGTGACCAACACCAGTCTCTGGGCAAGTGAATGGCAGTAATGACATTAGGAATCAGAGTACAGTGACCAACACAGTCAGTCTCTGTGGGCAGTAATGACATTAGGAATCAGAGTACAGTGACCAACACCAGTCTCTGTGGGTAATGACATTATGACATTACAGTGACCAACACCAGTCTCTGGGCAGTAATGAGATTGGGAATCAGAGTACAGTGACCAACACCAGTCTCTGTGGGCAGTAATGACATTAGGAATCAGAGTACAGTGACCAACACCAGTCTCTGGGCAGTAATGACATTGGGAATCAGAGTACAGTGACCAACACCAGTCTCTGGGCAGTAATGACATTAGGAATCAGAGTACAGTGACCAACACCAGTCTCTGTGGGCAGTAATGACATTAGGAATCAGAGTACAGTGACCAACACCAGTCTCTGGGGCAGTAATGACATTAGGAATCAGAGTACAGTGACCAACACCAGTCTCTGTGGGCAGTAATGACATTAGGAATCAGAGTACAGTGACCAACACCAGTCTCTGGGCAGTAATGACATTAGGAATCAGAGTACAGTGACCAACACCAGTCTCTGGGCAGTAATGACATTAGGAATCAGAGTACAGTGACCAACACCAGTCTCTGTGGGCAGTAATGACATTAATCAGGTAATGACCAGTCTCTGTGGGCAGTACAGGAATGACCAACCACCAGTCTTGGGAATCTGGGCAGTGACCAACACCAGTCTCTGAGTAATGACATTAGGAATCAGAGTACAGTGACCAACACCAGTCTCTGGGCAGTAATGACATTAGGAATCAGAGTACAGTGACCAACACCAGTCTCTGTGGGCAGTAATGACATTAGGAATCAGAGTACAGTGACCAACACCAGTCTCTGTGGGCAACAATGACATTAGGAATCATTAGGAATCAGAGTACAGTGACCAACACCAGTCTCTGGGCAGGACATTAGGAATCAATGACATTAGGAATCAGAGTACAGTGACCAACACCAGTCTCTGTGGGCAGTAATGACATTAGGAATCAGAGTACAGTGACCAACACCAGTCTCTGTGGGCAGCAGTCAATGACATTAGGAATCAGAGTACAGTGACCAACACCAGTCTCTGTGGGCAGTAATGACATTAGGAATCAGAGTACAGTGACCAACACCAGTCTCTGGGGCAGTAATGACATTAGGAATCAGAGTACAGTGACCAACACCAGTCTCTGTGGGCAGTAATGACATTAGGAATCAGAGTACAGTGACCAACACCAGTCTCTGGGCAGTAATGACATTAGGAATCAGAGTACAGTGACCAACACCAGTCTCTGTGGGCAGTAATGACATTAGGAATCAGAGTACAGTGACCAACACCAGTCTCTGTGGGCAGTAATGACATTAGGAATCAGAGTACAGTGACCAACACCAGTCTCTGGGCAGTAATGACATTAGGAATCAGAGTACAGTGACCAACACCAGTCTCTGTGGGCAGTAATGACATTAGGAATCAGAGTACAGTGACCAACACCAGTCTCTGTGGGCAGTAATGACATGAATCATTACAGTGAATCAGAGTCTCTGTGGGCAGTAATGACATTGAATCAACACCAACACCAGTCTCTGTGGGCAGTAATGACATTAGGAATCAGAGTACAGTGACCAACACCAGTCTCTGTGGGCAACAATGACATTAGGAATCAGAGTACAGTGACCAACACCAGTCTCTGTGGGCAACAATGACATTAGGAATCAGAGTACAGTGACCAACACCAGTCTCTGACATTAGGAATCAGTAACAATGACATTAGGAATCAGAGTACAGTGACCAACACCAGTCTCTGTGGGCAGTAATGACATTAGGAATCAGAGTACAGTGACCAACACCAGTCTCTGTGGGCAGTAATGACATTAGGAATCAGAGTACAGTGACCAACACCAGTCTCTGGGCAGTAATGACATTAGGAATCAGAGTACAGTGACCAACACCAGTCTCTGTGGGCAACAATGACATTAGGAATCAGAGTACAGTGACCAACACCAGTCTCTGTGGGCAATAATGACATTAGGAATCAGAGTACAGTGACCAACACCAGTCTCTGTGGGCAGTAATGACATTAGGAATCAGAGTACAGTGACCAACACCAGTCTCTGTGGGCAGTAATGACATTGGGAATCAGAGTACAGTGACCAACACCAGTCTCTGGGCAGTAATGACATTGGGAATCAGAGTACAGTGACTAACACCATGCAGTCTCTATTGGCAAAAATGACGCGACAAAAGATATGTTAACCTGTATATTCTAAGTAATCTGTAGCAGTGTTTCACAGTGCAGTGTTGGAATGCTTATGTACAATAATCAAAGTTACAATATTCACCTTATATTATTAATGATCTTCAGCATAACTATAACTCATAGCTATCAGAACTGAAAAGATGTTAAACAGATCAGGTACTTGTGTATCCAAGGCAGGAATGACTGCACATACAGCATCAAGGGAATATCAGCAATGATCCCCTTGATCAGCCAGCATGCAAATCCTCAGTGCAATAAGGACAGTGAATCGAAACAAGCACAAACCGAGACAGGTGTGATCTGAAGTGAGGGGCTGCTGGTGCCCAGAAGATATTCCAAGGTCCCTCACCTGTAACTGCTGCGCTGACAGCATCATTCAGATCATCATTGGAGATGCCGCTGACAGCCGCCAACTGGGTCAGCAACTGCTGTTTCTGGCTCTGTAGGGACATAGACCATGCACATGTGACACTTTGGACAGCAGCCACTGACTTATTCTGGACATACCAAATCAGACTTAGTTGCCATTTCCCAAGATGATGTCATCATCTTTCCTGGTGACATCACATCACAGATCTACATGGGAGGAATAACCCTACACGGACAGTGAATGTGTAGCTTGTTAGTGCATCAAGGACAAACAGGGTCAGATAACTGTTGCTAATTAAGATAGCCTTCTGTGCCTAGTTCAGAACAACTAAAAACTGATTCTTCATCAGTGTATTACTATAGCCAAATACTTTACTTTACATATTTCTTGTGATGGCTTACTATGACACTTATTAGATTATTATCTCACATATCACCCTTGCTAGTACTTGTAGTGCAATGTACATACAGTGGACTCTGTATATTATCCGACAATCTGTGAATTCCGACATATTTTTTTGGTCCCTTCAGCGTTCTTCTATATTATAATCATTTAAACATTGAATTATCCGACATCTTTACATTCTGAATTCTGACACCATTTTCTGGTCCCAATGACACTATTAATCTGTACTATCTTACATCCTCTCCCCATATTGGACTAAAATAGCCAATCAACCTGTCAATGGCCAGTTGACAACCAACATCCAGTTACTGGTAATCTCTTTGGTCCCAGTACCTGTGTTTTTACAAGCTGAGTGGCCAGTGTGAGGACCTAGGTATGTGTTGTCAAGCATAGGATGAATGGGCTGAGAAAAGGGATCAATTAATTTGGTGACACCAGATAAGAGACCAGGTTGCTTCAGCTAGTCAACATCCTTGAAGCTGAAACTAAGAACTTTGCACTGGAGTCGAAAATGAAGAAACGCCAGTCTACAATGGAGGACTTTTTCATGAAAGTGTGAATATGATTGTGATAGCCAAATTTTCAATATTTTCAACGGGAAATACTAAATTATTATAAAGCCACAAAATATATTGCCTTTTCAAATGCGACGCAAACACAATTTTATACTTTTTGGTCTTCCTTCCATACACTCTTTTCGAATATCACTATCACTTTATCACTATAAAACAATCGTATATATATATATATGTATGTGTATGTATGTATGTATGTATGCATGTGTATGTATGTGTACATGAGTATATATGTATGTATGTATGTACATGTGTATGTATGTGTACATGGGTATATATGTATGCATGCATGTGTATGTATGTGTACATGAGTATATATATATGTATGTGTAGGTATGTATGCATGTGTATGTATGTGTACATGAGTATGTATGTATGTATGTATGTATGTATGTATGTATGTATGTATGTATGTATGTATGTATGTATGTATGTATGTATGTATGTATGTATGTATGTATGTATGTATGTATGTATGTATGTTTGTATGTATGTATGTGTACATGAGTATATATGAGTACAGTGCCCAACACCATTCTCTGTGGGCAGTAATGACATTAGGAATCAGAGTACAGTGACCAACACCAGTCTATGTGGGCAGTAATGACATTGGGAATCAGAGTACAGTGACCAACACCATTCTATGTGGGCAGTAATGACATTTGGAATCAGAGTACAGTGACCAACACCAGTCTCTGTGGGCAGTTATGACATGTATGTATGTGTACATGAGTATCTGTGGGCAGTTATGACATGTATGTATGTGTACATGAGTATATATGTATGTATGTATGCACGTAGTATGTATGTATGTGTACATGAGTATGTATGTATGTATGTATGTATGTATGTATGTATGTATGTATGTATGTATGTATGTATGTATGTATGTATGTATGTATGTATGTATGTATGTATGTATGTATGTGTAGGTATGTATGCATGTGTATGTATGTGTACATGAGTATATATGTATATATGCATGCATGTGTATGTATGTGTACATGAATATATATGTATATATGTGCATGTATATGGAAAAGTATACAGCTTAATACAAACAATGTACAGCTTCTCCTATTATGTATCTGCTAAGTAATGAATATGACTCATGATCATCGCAACTGTGTAGAATTCTTATATTAGAAAATGTAATATGTATAATATCTGAAAAGTGCTCTATAACATGTTTTTTTACAGCAGGACTCCAATACTGTAAAATGTGACATGTATCTTTCTCTTGAAAGTGGTGTGTAACACACATGCAAACACTGTATACTATAACCTGTAAAAATTACATTTCATCTTGAAATATGATGTACAACATACTGATGAGAAATAAAAATACATAAAAAAAATTAAAAAAATGATTGTGATAGTAGTACATGTATGTATATTGTACTGCAGATAATAAATCCAATGATATTCATGTACATGTACATGTAAATGCAGAATTTGTTCTTTCCCTTTATTTACCAAGAAAATAGCTATTAAGCATTAATTTCATGATATAAGCCAGTTACAGTGAATGGTACTGTTTGAAAAGTATTCAAGCAAGGAGACACTCTGTATAATCCGACATTTTTTACCATACATGAAAACTCCTACAGTATTTAAAACTGTGTGCTGACATATAATGACATGAATGTTTTCACTATAATACAGTCATGACTAATGTTCTACTGAGGTGGTTGTCTACTGAGACCCTCACTCATCTCACCTCAAGCTCTTTCTGAAGTTCGAGTTCCAAGGCTGTGTTCAGTTCCTCCTTGGACTTCTCTAGTTCTGTCTTCATCTCAGTTTCAAGCTCACCCATGGCCTTTTGGTGGCGCTGTTCCATGAGAATGTTCATCAGTACACCACTAGCACGACTGTAACAACACATGGTCAATGTAATCAGTACACCACTAGCACGTCTGTAACAACACATGGCCAATCTAATCAGTACACCACTAGCACGTCTGTAACAACACATGGCCAATCTAATCAGTACACCACTAGCACATCTGTAACAACACATGGTCAATGTAATCAGTACACCACCAGCACATCTGTAACAACACATGGTCAATGTAATCAGTACACCACTAGCACATCTGTAACAACACATGGTCAATGTAATCAGTACACCACTAGCACATCTGTAACAACACATGGTCAATGTAATCAGTACACCACCAGCACATCTGTAACAACACATAGCCAATGAAATCAGTACACCACCAGCACATCTGTAACAACACATTATCAATGTAATCAGTACACCACTAGCACATCTGTAACAACACATGGCCAATGTAATCAGTACACCACCAGCACATCTGTAACAACACATGGTCAATGTAATCAGTACACCACCAGCACATCTGTAACACTAGCACATCTGTAACAACACATGGTCAATGTAATCAGTACACCACTAGCACATCTGTAACAACACATTATCAATGTAATCAGTACACCACTAGCACATCTGTAACAACACATGGCCAATGAAATCAGTACACCACCAGCACGTCTGTAACAACACATTATCAATGTAATCAGTACACCACTAACACATCTGTAACAACACATGGCCAATGTAATCAGTACACCACTAGCACATCTGTAACAACACATTATCAATGTAATCAGTACACCACTAGCACATCTGTAACAACACATGGCCAATGAAATCAGTACACCACCAGCACGTCTGTAACAACACATGGCCAATCTAATCAGTACACCACTAGCACGTCTGTAACAACACATGGTCAATGTAATCAGTACACCACTAGCACATCTGTAACAACACATGGCCAATGTAATCAGTACACCACTAGCACGTCTGTAACAACACATGGTCAATGTAATCAGTACACCACTAGCACATCTGTAACAACACATCATCAATGTAATCAGTACACCACTAACATATCTGTAACAACACATGGCCAATGTAATCAGTACACCACTAGCACATCTGTAACAACACATGGCCAATGTAATCAGTACACCACTAACACATCTGTAACAACACATTATCAATGTAATCAGTACACCACTAGCACATCTGTAACAACACATGGCCAATGTAATCAGTACACCACTAGCACATCTGTAACAACACATGGTCAATGTAATCAGTACACCACTAGCACATCTGTAACAACACATTATCAATGTAATCAGTACACCACTAGCACATCTGTAACAACACATGGCCAATGTAATCAGTACACCACTAGCACATCTGTAACAACACATGGCCAATGTAATCAGTACACCACTAGCACATCTGTAACAACACATGGCCAATGTAATCAGTACACCACTAGCACATCTGTAACAACACATGGCCAATGTAATGTAATCAGTACACCACTAGCACATCTGTAACAACACATTATCAATGTAATCAGTACACCACTAGCACATCTGTAACAACACATTGCCAATGTAATCAGTACACCACTAGCACATCTGTAACAACACATGGCCAATGTAATCAGTACACCACTAGCACATCTGTAACAACACATGGCCAATGTAATCAGTACACCATTAGCACATCTGTAACAACACATGGCCAATGTAATCAGTACACCACTAGCACATCTGTAACAACACATGGCCAATGTAATCAGTACACCATTAGCACATCTGTAACAACACATGGCCAATGTAATCAGTACACCATTAGCACATCTGTAACAACACATGGCCAATGTAATCAGTACACCATTAGAATGTAATCAGTACACCACTAGTGTGTCTGTAACAACACAATACACAGTCTGTCTGTACTACATGACTCACCCTGCCCCGTGCTGCTGTTGGTGATAATATTCCACCTGAGTCTCCTCCTCTATCTGTGTCTCTAACTGACTGGAAGAAAGAAAACAGAGGTACCATTTAACATCCAGACCTGTAATTACAAAAATTCCGACCTACTAGAACTGGCTCACACCTTACCTCCAGCAAACAAAATGAAAAACCTACTTATATTTCCATCGTCAAAATATGAACAATTTCTGTTAGGGAATAATTGCATGCCAAAATACAGTACTACTTTGAAAAATAAAGTTCAATGCCTGAATCTAACTTAATAACAAAGTCAAGAGCACATTTGGTTTTGTGACAGTTGCAGTACAACCTTAAAACAGAAAGTTATGTTCTCACAGCCATTCCTACCTATTAGTACTAACGTTCTGTGTACCCGTTACTGCTATAAGTTAAGTCACAGCTTTACTGTAACAATACATAAACGGAAATATATACACTGAGAATCAGAGATCTTGAGTATTTTTAATGGGTGTGTTGATAATTATGTTTCAGCCATAGAATCGGAAACATTGTGGTCTTAAATATTAAAAATTAAAAAATTCAGACATTTCTACTTTCACTGAGATTATCATACTGTCAAAATGTTGTCAAAATGAAATATTACTGTCAAAATGAAATAGTAACGAATATAAAAAAATCATATAGGTTGGCAAATCTGGTTTACTATTCTTAAACCTAAAGTTTTGCCAATCACAAAATGGGCAGTGTTTATGTTCTGTTTTTTAATGATTAAAAAAGCTGTCTGTGAAACTGCTATTGGTCACATCTTATTTTGTAACAATTCATTTTAATATGCATTTGAATTCATGGGAGTATAAAAAACCCTGGTGTGCATACTTTGAATAAATCTACAAACTGGAAGTCGATACTAATATATATATAACTCACACTGAAAGTTTGTTATAAAAAAGGAATAACCACAAATTACAAGAAAACTGGCAAGGGTGCTGACTGACTTTTCCTTCATATGGCGTTTGGTCTGTAGTTTCTCCATGATGATCCTCTCCTGTTTCTGTCTGTTGTGCTGGATCTGTTCGTTGAGGTTCTCCACCTGGTTGTGGTGCTGCTGTATGAGCTGATCTGTGTAGCTGCGCGGCAGCTCCCCGTCCTGCGTCATTCGCCGCTCCAACTGGTCCTGCAGGGACATCACACACTTAATACACCACATCAACTCACTTCTCAATATTGGACATGATTTCTGATTTACTTGGACTAACTGACTGAGTTTGGCTTTACGCCGCTTTTAGCAATATTCCAGCAACATCACGGTGGGGGACACCAGAAATGGGCTTCATACGTTGTACCCGTGTGGGGATTCGAACCCGGGTCTTCGGCGTGACGAGCCAACGCTTTAACCACTAGACTACCCCACCGCCCCTGATATACTTGGAACTTAGTACAGACATATACATAGTTAATCAGTCAAAGGACCCAAGAAATAAATAGACAATGACTCTCTGACCCATCGTTTGATTCCTGAAGTGGGCCAAAGCCATAATATATGGATGTTTTGATTAGGAAATGGACTGTTAGTTTACCTGAAGCTCCTTCATTGTCTTGTCCTGTTTCCTCAATATAGCTTGCCTCCGTGCCTGTCCCACCTGTATACACAGTACATGTCAGTATGCTCATACATACAGGAACATCCACATAGAAAATATCCAACAAGATGGACACCTTGTGTTTCACTTCTCATATAACTGTAACATGACATCCTAGACAAGATGTATTGACAAGGAGATGTAAGTGCTCAAATGCACCAATATGAGATGTGTTGCTGAGATGAGGTCGCTGTGATGCGAGTGATGAGGCCATCATAGATGGTCAAATGAAGTGAATATCTACATGCAGGATGCACTGACTCGAGTCAAACAATTGTAACCTTTCTAAAACAATTCGGCACTTCTGAAATTTTTATTTTAACAAAAGGTAACACAAAACATATTAAAGTAAGACACTACACAGTAAATGAAATGTCCTCAAAATACTGGTGCTGACTTTGATATTGAGAAAAAGAGATGACGGAGTGAATGCTGGTGAGCTAAAAAATACCATTAATATGAGTGAGTGAGTATGGTTTTACTCTGTGTTTTAGCAATATTTGTGCAGTGTCAAGGCAGAGGATACCAGTGGCGGATCCACACAGGGCCTTCACATATTGTTCCCATATGGGGAATTAAACTCTGAGTTTCAGCATGATGAGCTAATGCTTTATCCACTAGGCTACGCTAATGACTCATGAAATTAAACTGGATTACATTTTGAAGCTATGTTTTATTGAATTCAACATATGTTAAAATTTAAGGTTGTATTCGTTTCTTGATGGATCATCAGCTTTCAGCCAGGCACTCGAGGCATTCCAAGACCCAGGTGTTTGTTAGGTGCCTGATGCTAACTGTCATCAGGGAAATACACAGGCTAATTATAATGGCCCTGGCTGAACAACTGAAAATTGGAGTTTTGTTTCCTTTTAAGTTACATGACAGAGTTCATGCACTGCTCCTACTGATTGAGTTTTGATCCCCAGCCGACAGTAATTAACACTAATTTTGGGTCACTACTATGTAAATGTACTGTAGTATTGGGATAATTACAATACATGTCAGTTGTTTCATTCACTGCCGATGGCCAGTGGGACTAGAGACATTTAGCCAGTTATTTGTCACTTCTAAAGAAAGACTTGGTATATGATACATTGCAAAACTGTCCAAACTATCGAAATAATTCATAACATTGTGAAATATGAAATGCACACTTTAAACTGAACGTGACCCTGCCTTTTGTCCTCATCATGTGCAAGTTCCTGTAATATATTCTTCCGTGCTCCTAACACTAACTACTCCACCTCTCATGGGTTTTCTTTTCAAGGTGTACACCTCTCCTCTGCAAGATGTTGTCATCATTATAGTTAGATTCCCAGGGCACCTGTATCTATGTTCTCCATCCCCTGACCATTACCTGCAGCTTGCCAATCAGCAGTCCGATCTCCTGGTCCTGCTGCTTCAGTGCCTCCTCTGTCTCTCGGGCCAGCTGCTGCTTCAGGTCCTGCAATGCTGCCTGTCTGCCAGCTTCCAGCCTCTCCTCCTCCACACTCATCTCTGCAGCCTACAACAATGTTAAACATGTTCACTGTTATGATATCGATGAGGGGTTAATGTTAACATGTCACTCCTCAAATGTTTTGTGTTGGTTGTAACACTGTTAACATGTTACTATTTTATACCATTTCAAAGCATATACACAAAGCTAATAATATAGACAAAGGGCAATAAATTCACGATAACAAAGTTGGTTGTTGATGAGGCCAGGATATTTTATGTGCACTTCAATTCCTATGGGCAAAGGGTGCTTCCATTTATTTATAAAACATTCCAAGACCACCATCATAATATGCTCTGATTATACTGATTAGTTTTATCTTGTGACTTTTAACATCCCCAGTGAATTTATAAAAAGAACTGATCAATTTCTTAAATAAATGTTTTAGGTGAAAATATGTACTAAAGTACAGACAGCCAAAGTCGAGATACATTAAGTTGGATATCTAAAATTCAAATATTCTTCCAGTTTTACATCATTTGCTTAAGTTAAACTACTTATTGTTCTTGCACCTGTCCAGATTGCTATTGATAATTTTCAAAATTGTCAGCCCAATTTATTTACTCCTCAAATTGTTATGAAATATTTGTTGTGATTTCAACAATATTCAACGTGGTACTCCTCTAATTGTCATGAGATATTTTTTGTTGTTTCAACAATGTCAACATGCTATTCTTCAAATTGTTTTGAAGGTTGGTGGGTTAGCCTAGTAGTTAGAGCATTCGCTCATCGCGCCAAAGGTCCAGGTTTGATTCCCCACATGGGTATAATGTGTGAAGCCCATTTCAGGTGTCCCCTGCTGTGATATTGCTGGAATATTGCCAAAAGCACCGTAAAACCCAACTCACTAACTGACTATGACATATTTGTTGTGGTTTCAGCAATATAAGTATGTATGGTACAGTAGTCATCTCAAACTTAGGTGTGCAGGTTAGTGATGGATGCAGATCTTCACACCTCCCCTAATTCATTTCCACCAACTCAAGGCTTACCAGTATATCAGACCAAACACCTTCTAACAACAAAAACCCACCAGCTGTTTTTCCAGTTTATCTTTTTCTTTCTGTTTTGCATTTTGTTTAGCTCTTCTCATTTCGGCATGTCTGGCTTGCATATCTGCTAGCTTGGCTCTGCGTTGATTCAGTTTGACCTCAAGGCTAGAAAGAGATGTACCAATACCTTTCCTTTGAAATGCTTGCTCAATGAAGAAAAGCAAAACTACATTTAATATGAGTATGTTGCACAAGTGTCTTTCATAATATCCCAATAGACAAATACTGTGTACATAAGTTCCTAAATACTGAAATATTAGCTGAAGATGAGAACCAATGTAATGGGTGATCTTTTTGTACTGAAGGGCAATAACTCTGCCTTTTGAAATTAAGTGACGGTCCAGCTTCTCACTTTTCATGACAACCTCCGAGATGTAAAGACAGAGCCCAGCTCATGCATTGTTTTTGCTACACTTTCATTAAGAAACGCTTGTTTACATCAAAATTCCTTGAACTGACACATTTTGCAGTGGGTGTTAGTTTAGATAGCATCATTTGCATAATCTCTTAGTGTAATACGAATTGACACAATGGGAAATAACAGGAAAAATCGGTATATTGTCACGGCATTCTTACGTCAGAACACAAGTCGTAAGATTCGAGCAGCGAAATAATGCAAACTCACTTACTTCTCAGCTCTTGTGATATCTCCAATTATAAGTCCTAACCATTCAAATCTAACAAATAGTTCTACCACTGAGTTCAATGTGGTAAAATCAGAGATGCGCCTATATTTGCAATAAACATACAGAATTTAACAGTTTGTTATATATGTTAAGTTTTGATCAACAGTTCCTCATACATCTGATTTTATCTTTTTTTAAAGTTCTGACAACATAGTTTTAAACTATACTACACGGTTGCTGTACAGATACTAGTCATCATAGTTTACCCATAACATTCTATCCCTTATTAAATGTGTCCATCAGTCAGTGCTATGAGTCATAATACATGCTAATTTATTTATCCATTTCTTACAAACTTCTGATACCAATCAATGCTCTTAAAATAAGTATTAAATTGTTTCAACAAACAACAAATACTGACTACCACAGATGTTACATATGATACAGAAATAGATTGGAATGACATCTGTATCTTGTTTTGGTAACAGATGTTGACAATATTTTTTTCCTAACACACCATCTACTATCCAGCTATAGCTCTATATCCTGAATTTTATTCAGCAGTGCACAAATAGAACTATAGTATTAAGTATGTGTATTCGGAATTAACATGCCACAAAAAATATTTTCTTAAATCAAATATTGTTACAATGACAACTTCAAATTCCACACACCCCACTCATTACATGTTTGATGCATTTATTACATTTACCGGTGACAGTTTTACATTTAATGGATTAAACTATATGTGTAATGATTGCTAAAATGTAATGCATAATGAGAATAATAAAAGATAAAGGAATGACATTATTGATCTGTTTGTGTGAGAATTTAAAAAAAAAAGTTTACAACAAGGAATAATAAAAAGCTAGGATTAGATAAAATAAATATGAGCCTTGTCATGACTGTTATAATCATCTGATTATTGTAATGGCAAACTGCATGTGGACACAGCCATTTCATGTTTACAACACTGTTAATAAAACTGTCAACAATGTCAACAATCTTTGGATATGATTTTCATTTTAGAGTGACGTTATATTCAACTTACGTCACAAGAAGATTAGAAATACATCAACAATGCCAATCTATTCTGTAAACAATACACTAGTGATTGTGAAGTGATATTTGCCCAAGTACATCAGGTTTCTATGAACCTGGTTATACTATATATTATATGTAAACTCACCTCTTTTGCTGCCTCATCTTACTGCGCTGCAGCTGGTTAGAGAGGTACTGCATGTTCTGGTTGTGTTCCTTCAGAATCCGTTCTCGGGCACTGTTGATAATTTACAACGTTCAGTTATTACATGTTCACAGGTAGCTCATAATAACAATGTTATTTCAACTAATGGGTATAAGTCATAGGTGATGACTCACTCTTGTGAGAGCTCAAGATTGGAAAACAGGACTTTGTTGAGGGTGTCCTGCTGCTGCTGCTTCAAGGTGTCCATCTCCAGCTCTTCCTCCTGCTCCTGTTCAGACACCACCTGCAACACACACCAGTAATATATATACTCTTCAAAAAAAGAAACTTGACATGCCGTTTTGGAGTTTATTTTCTGAGTGCATATAACTAATTCAAACATGACATCATTACTCAATTACAGTAAAATCATCTCTTTACAAATTTCCAAAACATGATTATGCAGAAAGTGCTTGGTAAAACCATAGAGGGCTATTAAAGCCACTTGGTCAGAGTAAAATGTCAGTATCTGGTGTCCGAACTATAAGTAGTCTGATTGTACCACACCAATGGAAAATGGCCACACTATATATAGTCTGATTGCACCACACACCAATGGAAAATGGCCACACTATATATAGTCCGATTGCACCACACACCAATGGTAAGTGGCCAGACTGTATACAGTCTGACTGCACCACGCCAATGGTAAATGGCCAAACTATATATAGTCTGATTGCACCACACACCAATGGTAAATGGCCAAACTATATATAGTCTGATTGCACCACACACCAATGGTAAATGGCCAAACTATATATAGTCTGATTGCACCACACACCAATGGTAAATGGCCAAACTATATACAGTCTGACTGCACCACGCCAATGGTAAATGGCCAAACTATATATAGTCTGATTGCACCACACACCAATGGTAAATGGCCAAACTATATATAGTCTGATTGCACCACACACCAATGGTAAATGGCCAAACTATATATAGTCTGATTGCACCACACACCAATGGTAAATGGAAAAACTATATATAGTCTGATTGCACCACACACCAATGGTAAATGGAAAAACTATATATAGTCTGATTGCACCACACACCAATGGTAAATGGCCAAACTATATATAGTCTGAGTGCACCACGCCAATGGTAAATGGCCAAACTATATATAGTCTGATTGCACCACACACCAATGGAAAATGGCCAATCTATATATATTCTGATTGCACCACACACCAATGGTAAATGGCCAAACTATATATAGACTGCACCTGATGGTAAATGGCCAAACTATATATAGTCTGACACACCAAAGGGAAAATGGCCAAACTATATATAGTCTGATTGCACCACACACCAATGGAAAATGGCCAAACTATATATAGTCTGATTGCACCACACACCAAGGGAAAATGGCCAAACTATATATAGTCTGATTGCACCACACACCAAGGGAAAATGGCCAAACTGGCCAAACTATATATAGTCTGATTGCACCACACACCAAGGGAAAATGGCCAAACTATATATAGTCTGATTTGGCCAAACTATATATGCACCCACACACCAAGGGAAAATGGCCAAACTATATATAGGCCAAACTTATAGTCTGATTGCACCACACCAAGGGAAAATGGCCAAACTATATATAGTCTGATTGCACCACACACACCAAGGGAAAATGGCCAAACTATATATAGTCTGATTGCACCACACACCAAGGGAAAATGGCCAAACTATATATAGTCTGATTGCACCACACACCAAGGAAAATGGCCAAACTATATATAGTCTGATTGCACCACACACCAAGGGAAAAATGGCCAAACTATATATAGTCTGATTGCACCACACACCAAAATGGCCAAACTATATATAGTCTGGCCAAACACCACCACACCAAGGAAAATGGCCAAACTATATATAGTCTGATTGCACCACACACCAAGGGAAAATGGCCAAACTATATATATAGTCTGTCTGATTACACCACAAAATGGCCAAGAGAAAATGGCCAAACTATATATAGTCCACCAGGATCTGATTGCACCACACACCAAGGGAAAATGGCCAAACTATATATAGTCTGATTGGCACCATATATAGTCTACCACAGGGAAAAATGGCCAAACTATATATAGTCTGATTGCACCACACACACACAAGGGAAAAATGGCCAAACTATATATAGTCTAATTGCACCACACACCAAGAGAAAATGGCCAAACTATATATAGTCTGATTGCACCACACACCAAGGGAAAATGGCCAAACTATATATAGTCTGATTACACCACACACCAAGGGAAAATGGCCAAACTATATATAGTCTGATTGCACCACACACCAAGGGAAATTGGCCAAACTATATATAGTCTGATTGCACCACACACCAAGGGAAAATGGCCAAACTATATATAGTCTGATTGCACCACACACCAAGGGAAAATGGCCAAACTATATATAGTCTGATTGCACCACACACCAAGAGAAAATGGCCAAACTATATATAGTCTGATTGCACCACACACACAGAGTCAGTTGTACTGAACCTACCTGCAGTCTATGGGCCAACCGCTCTTGGAGTCGGGCCAGCATTGCCTGCCGCTCCTTCTGTTTACGACCTGAAACATTCAAAGGTCACATGATCAATCAACATTGCATGGTTTACTATAAACAGTAATATATAAATACCTGACAGAAAATGACTGTTTGTTTGCAACGACTGATGGCATGATGCACTGACCATGGTAATCGTCCATCTGATGACGGTGTTGCCTGAGAAGGTGGTTGACATCGGTGGTGCTCATGTTGCCCTGGCGACCCACCTCCGCCATCTGTGTTCCCAGCTTCTCCTCCACATCAGATAGCTCCTGCCCCCTCAGTTCCTGCCACACACATACACCATACTTGAATATGCATTCCTTTCTTTGTTTCATTTCCAAACAAACATGATAAATAGTTGAAAAGATATCTGTGGCTAGACAATAAAGGAATAAATCAAATCAAAATAATAAAAGGTCATAACTTTACAATTACAGAAAATAATATAAATGAAAAAAACATTATAATTATTGTTCCCCACAGATGTTGTCATTGGTGAATGAATAGTTTATCATAAACTTGATACACAACAAATATCCCTGAATATTCCAAACAGATTGGCCATGACAGGTCCCTGTAAACCTGAGATACTGAGTGTGTTATTCCCTTCTACCTTGGCAACCTATTGTCTCAAGTTCTGGGAAGGATGCTGCTTGTTCAAATCATAAGTCAGTCTGTTGTTCCAAGTCCACTTAAGTCCTCAGAATCTGTTTCCTGGCTGTTCTGTTCACCACACACATCTAGATGATGCATCAAAGAGTCTGGTAGTACTTCTTGGCAACTTATAGCTGGAATATTGCTGAGTGTGGCGTAAAACTAACTCACTCTTGGCAACTCTTAACTTAATTCTCAGTGGCTCCTACTTCCAATATACAGAGAACCCATCAGCCATGTATGTCAGAATCCCCATACCCTTCAAAGAAACTCGGCCAATACTGTCAATGATGATTTAGCTTCTACAAGTAAAATAATGTTTAAGTCAGGTTAAATGATACATAACCCTAATCATCATCATTAAGTAGTCTTTCATTTTCTTCATTTTTAGATTCAAACAGTATGACCTAACTCAGCTATTAATATGTTTATCATCACAGTGTCACCAGTGCTTTCCCTTCACCTCACCTTGTCCATCTTGTCCATCTCCTGAATGTCCGACTGGTCCAGCTCAGTGCAAACTTCTTCCTTCTCTATATGCTGCTGACACATCATTTTATGGTATCCCTGGATACAGACAAACCTCCATTAGTATCAGTTTATGGTATATCTGCATGTACAGACAAACCTCCATTAGTATCAGTTTAGGGTATCTCTGTATACAGACAAACCTACATTAGTATCAGTTTATGGTAAATCTGCATACAGACAAACCTACATTAGTATCAGTTAATGGTATCTCTGTATGTACAAACAAACCTACATTAGTATCAGTTTATGGTATATCTGTATGAACAGACAAACCTCCATTAGTATCAGTTTATGGTATCTCTGTATGTACAAACAAACCTCCATTAGTATCAGTTTACGGTATCTCTGTATGTACAGACAAACCTCCATTAGTATCAGTTTACGGTATCCCTGTATGTACAGACAAACCTACATTAGTATCAGTTTAGGGTATCTCTGTATACAGACAAACCTACATTAGTATCTGTTTATGGTAACCCTGTATGTACAGACTAACCTCCATTAGTATCAGTTTACGGTAACTCTGTATACAGATTAACCTACATTAGTATCAGTTTATGGTAACTCTGTATACAGACAAACCTCCATTAGTATCAGTTTATGGTATCCCTGTATGTAAAGACAAACCTCCATTAGTATCAGTTTACGGTATCTCTGTATACAGCCAAACCTCCATTAGTATCAGATTATGGTATCCCTGTATGTACAGACAAACCTCCATTAGTATCAGTTTACGGTATCTCTGTATACAGACAAACCTCCATTAGTATCAGTTTATGGTATCCCTGTACGTACAGACAAACCTCAATTAGTATCAGTTTACGGTATCTCTGTATACAGAGAAACCTCCATTAGTATCAGGTTACGGTATCTCTGTATACAGACAAATCTACATTAGTATCAGTTTACGGTAACTCTGTATGTACAGAGAAACCTCCATTAGTATCAGTTGAGGGTAACCCTGTATGTACAGACAAACCTACATTAGTATCAGTTTACGGTAACCCTGTATGTACAGACAAACCTACATTAGTATCAGTTTACGGTATCTCTGTATGTACAGACAAACCTACATTAGTATCAGTTTATGGTATATCTGTATGTACAGACAAACCTCCATCAGTATCAGTTTATGGTAACCCTGTATGTACATACAAACCTACATTAGTATCAGTTGATGGTAACTCTGTATACAGACAAACCTCCATTAGCATCAGTTTATGGTAACTGTATGTACAGACAAACCTCCATTAGTATCAGTTTACGGTATTTCTGTATACAGACAAACCTACATTAGTATCAGTTTACGGTAACTCTGTATGTACAGACAAACCTACATTAGTATCAGTTTATGGTAACCCTGTATGTACAGACAAACCTCCATTAGTATCAGTTGATGGTAACTCTGTATACAGACAAACCTCCATTAGCATCAGTTGATGGTAACTCTGTATGTACAGACAAACCTACATTAGTATCAGTTTATGGTATCTCTGTATACAGACAAACCTACATTAGTATCAGTTTATGGTAACTTTGTACATAAACTGTAACTGTAGTCATTTCTGCTGGTATGTGAACAGAGTATGTCAGCTTTCAGTTTGGCTTCACTGCTATGTCACGATTACTAGGATATTGTGACACAAACCATAAAGACGTTTAGAAAGACACTTGCATCATCCAGAAAGTTGCATCAGGACTACTGATTAGGACCTATCCTTAAAGATTATCAGACTTCATTCACATGCCATCTAAATAACCGATCACAGAAACACAAAAAATATTGACTTCAAGAACATCTAGACTCGCAGTGTGTATCTTTAACCCTTCAACCAACAGACAGGATTCCAGCAGAAAGGACAAACAGGTATCTATATAAACTAGGAAAACTACATACCTAGTTGGCATTGTTAATTAACTGCTGTATATATTATCATTAATGGCTGAATGTGAATAATGATAACAATTTTGATTCAGAATATAACAGATGGATTTGTGGTGAAGTCTTTGATACATACTAAGAAGTTGGATGAACGAGAAGACAGAAGTTGTTATCCATCAAAGTTTCATGTCTGTGTGCTTCGGAAACTAACTTATATCCATGAAGCAGATACACACAAACAAAGGTCTCATGTACTTTTAAACACTCAACATACTTATGACTGTTTCTTTTCAGTGTCTGAACAAACATTGACATGCAACATTGTCTGAAGTGCAGTATGTGAATGGGATAAATGTCTATTTGGAGAGCTATGCCCTTGATTCCATGTCTCTATCCTTGGTATACAAGCAGGGTATTCACGCACATACCAAGCAGCGCTCACAGCTTCCTATTCCTGTGGCCACACTGACATTATGGACACATAACATGTGAATATGGCATCAGCTTCATTGCTTACCTGAACAAACTCTGTAGCTGAAACACCCTTGTCAGATGTCTGGACAAACGTTGCCCTTTCTTTGGCTTGTTTCTCAGCCAACTTGTGCATACGTCTTTGTCGACGTTGTCGTAGCTTCTCAGCCAGACTTTCCTGCTGTTGTACTGCCTCTACAATAATAGTGCTCTACTAAATTCACAACATTTTGATAAAGCAGTTTCTGAGATGTGAGAAATCTTTTGATATTCTCAACATAGTCAATAATGGTCAACAAAGTTCAATCTCATGGTGATGTCTAAGGATTTCTTTTCAATTTAGATGTCAAGGTAGAATGTACTTCTGCTTTCTACATGTATCAGAGGACATGATGTTATGAGGAGGAACCTGAGAGTGAGTACGCTGTGATGACTGAAGAGTGTTACCTTTATGGTAGTGTGCCCTAATGTTGTCTACATCCTCCCGGTACTGCTGGAGTAATTCCTCCTGTTGCTTGTCTACAAGTTTCTTGTCAGTTACAAGCCCTGTGAGGACATCATCCAGCACCATCTGCTGAGTGTTAATGTCCTGGGTCTGGTTGTCAGCCTGCATTTTGTTGTACTCCAGTACTTGCTGTCTCTTGGCCAGCCGCTCCTGCAGAACCTACAGCACACACAGGACATCTGGCATCAGCCTTGTTGGCAGACTCAGTAACTCTAGGCCTGGTCTCATGTCATAAGTAAAACATGGCCCAGATTCATAAGGGATCATATAAAAGAGTCAATCTTTGCCAGTGTATTCAGTGTTTAAAACTTTATAACACACACATAACAAACTGATGGATATATCAAACTGTTTTTGGTCCCCATCATTTGCTATAGATCTCATCATGTGAAATGGATGGATATAACAATGTCTTTTGGTGGTCCCTTTGGTGTGTCATCTGTCAACAACATTGCTCATGTTTATTACTGTCATTCTCACGTGTCACCATTTAACCACGCAGCTGTTCAAAGCAGCGAACAACTGAAGGTAACTGACTAAGCCTATTAAGTTGTGACACCTCCTCAACTATCAATGCTAAAACTTGGTTTGGTGGCCATATTTGATCTATAAATCGGACAGCTGGAATTAGGTGAACATTGTATTATCAAATTAAATGAACATTGTAAGTATGATACAGTTCATACTTTTTGCATTTGTCAAGTCACATGATGTGGTAACATGACTTGATCCAAGATGTCTGACAGGCGAAATGCGTATAACAAACTACGGCTATAATGATCTAATATTAGTGTGCCCTTTGTTTCATTACAACAGTAGTTTACTGTATCTAAATTCCCCAGCTGTTACACTATTATCCACCTATGATGTTGAGAGAGATATATGCCTACCCTCCTCTGCCTGGCTTGCTCTGCACCAATCTTCTCTTCCAGTGCTGCCATCTGGTCCATCAGCTTCTCCATCAGTGACTCCACCTGATGGGCAACATCAATATCATATATCTACAGCACTGAAGAGAACCACCACATCTCTACCTTACCCCGAGGGAAACACACCAAGGAGACCAAGTCTCATTCCTTGTCATTTTAAAGTCATGAACATCAGCCTTGATAAAATGACAACAGATCAAAACTCTTGAATGAACAGGCAGTTACATTCACAGGTCAATTCACCAGTGTTCTAGAAAAGCTGCATATCTGAGTAATCTGCACAAAATAAATCACCATTATCCTTCCTGTGCAGGTTTGCATGAAAAAATAAAATAGAAGATAATGATGCATAATTACACACTGCAGCATTTTACAGCTATTTCTCCATTCATCTGTATTTTCTTATGGAATGTAGGAATTGCAGTTATGACATTACTGCAGTAAAACAATGACAGACTAATTCTCACTGACATGCTTATGTTGTCTGATCGTTACATACAGGCATAAACAAGCAAACAACAGTTGCTGACTATGCCATTTGTTCTATTAAGACAGGGAAACATCTCAATTCTGAACACTGAAAATCTATGGATTCCACCATGAAAGTTTAAGCAGTTTCTAACTCTAGCATATAACCCATGGCTCAAAATATTTTCGGTACTGATAAGTCTGCTTACTAACTATGGGACATCTAACTTACCTCAGCTTCTGACATTCCAGACGAACGTATGAGATCTTGTCTCATCTTCTCTCTCTGTTCTCTCTGTAGCTGGTTCTGAAAAAACAGTTATCAGTGTGTACCTTTCTCCTGTATTGAGATTATCTTGCCAAGTATAGATGAAGAGTATGATGGCATGTATTAATCTGAAGGTAAGGCAATGGTAAATAATGGTATGGAATTCTATTACACACTTTCTCTGTGGCACAAGAATGATTGTGTACAGGCTTTCACTACTTGTTCAGAAAGGTAAGGTTATCAGTACACACTGCAGTCTCCAGCATGCATACAGTACATGGGTCACTTGACCTGTACACATTCATGTCAATCTACTGGCAAACAAGGATAAGTTCGATGCAGCGCAGAGAACATGTTTATGAGAAGTAGGCGTGCACGGCAATGAGCAAATGCATTTGGTTTGTGAAAGGTACAGAAGATGTAGGCTAGTGCACGTGCATTGCATGACGATGAAATTGATTCTGTGTGTAGCTGCACACGCCTTGCTCATAAGACTCTCACGTCGGTGTAGCGAGTCGCACTACATTTGATCGCGGACAACCTTGGGCCCCATCGCTAACAATGGCAAGCGCCAGTGGGCAGCACTCATACATGCTAAAATGAGTCAATTGTCAGGTCGGTGCTTAACTTATCCTTGTTTGCCAGTAGGTCTAAGTACCTGTTTGCTGCTGGCTTGTGTCTGAAGGTTGTCAAGGTGAGACTCTAGTGCTTGGGGGTCCTTGCTCAGCTTGCTGTTGTTCTTGGCCTCCTGCAACATTGTAGGTGACAGTGTCATGTAAGACCCCAGCAACATTACAGGAGATACTAGGGTAGTGTCATGTAAAAGCTCAGCAACATTACAGCAGATACCAGGGTAGTGTCATGTAAGAGCCCAGCAACATTACAGCAGATACCAGGGTAGTGTCCTGTAAGAGCTCAGCAACATTACAGCAGATACCAGGGTAGTGTCCTGTAAGAGCTCAGCAACATTACAGCAGATACCAGGGTAGTGTCCTGTAAGAGCTCAGCAACATTACAGCAGATACCAGGGTAGTGTCCTGTAAGAGCTCAGCAACATTACAGCAGATACCAGGGTAGTGTCCTGTAAGAGTTCAGCAACATTACAGCAGATACCAGGGTAGTGTCCTGTAAGAGCTCAGCAACATTACAGCAGATACCAGGGTAGTGTCCAGTAAGAGCTCAGCAAAGTACGGTCAATTTTTTGTTTCGATGCTCGCACATGGCAATTATGAATATGTGATCAAGAAACACATGAAACTTGTTCAACTTCCAGCTAGGTGGGGACTTCTGTAGTTTCAGCACCGAAGCCAAGTGAGTTACCTCCTCTGCCTCTTGCCGCTCAGTCTCCACCATTTTCCTTATGTCTGTAATGTCTTCACCTGTCCTCTTCATGAATGTCCTGTAGTAGTCCTCAGTGATGTCCTTCTTCACCACCAATGTCTTCATCAAACCGTCCAGACACCGAAGCAGCAGCTGCAAGTCATACCAAATATTTCACTCAAGAGGCTAATTTGAATCAGTAATCAGACTTATCACATCTAAAGGTCTTCTACACCGAAAGTATTTCAAATCACACATGTTCCATGATATGTGTGCAAAACTGGCTGTTGTTATGTTCATGTCCCACACAACACACCTTGTCATGCAAAGATTGTAAACTATACAATAAGTAAACTATACTATAAGTAAACGCAACAGTGAGCACGTTATGACAGATCAAGTTATTATCTTACATCCATGTCAACAATGTTGTTTTTAGTGATACTTTCAAATATGATCAATAAAGCTGATTTGTACCTCATGTAATCTTATCTGAGCCCCTTTCAGGGCTGTGTGCTTAGTAAAAATCTAATGCTTGCACAGCCTTCACTACGCACAGGGCGGTTGGGTAGTCCAGACTGGTTAAAACTTTGGCTTGTCACACAAAAGATATAGGTTCGATTCCCCACATGGGTACAATCTGTGGAGCACATTTCTGGTGTCACATGACGTGATATTGCCAAAAGCGGTATAAACCCAGCTCACAATTACATCAAATGTCTTTTCTCAAAGAGGGAAATGCTAAAACCTGTATGACAGACTACAGGACATGGACTTATCAAGAATATACCATAACAACCTAAACAAATCTCTGATTTCCGAGCATTCCGGCAATAACACTCTGATCAAGGGAACTGAATTTTGTGCTAAGGAGCAGATTATCACCAAGCATTCTATCAAGAACATGTGCTTCTGGCCAACCACTTGGTTGATTAAGAAAGAGATCTTGCAGTTGATTTCCTTAAGGGCAGTGCCTTTTCTTTTCATAGAATAGCCTCAGTGTCCTTTAGATCATTGTTAGTTGTACAGATACCCGCTTTATGAGTTCACGCTCGTGTCATGTAGGTCTATGTGCAGTTTATGAAAGGTGTGCTGGACGTACAAGTTCCCTTTCATTGTCAAGCTCTGTCTCCATAGTTTTGATGTTGTTCAAGTCTTGCTGTGCCATCTCACCATCAGCTCCAACACTGTAACAGGCAATGAATTTCAGAATGTAGACGCATGAGTCTAGTGTGTAGACACACTATCATCATTATTGCATCTCACTGTACGGAGGTGCTGTCGCTCACCAGGTAAATGTCCAACTGAAAGTTATCAAGTAAAGAACATAAAAGATGCTTTTCTTATCAAACTGGCTGTGTGTTTAGAAGGGAGAATGTAGATCAATATGATATTCTGAAAAAACTGGAAACATACATGTAAACTATTTGGTTCTAGGATGTCGAGTTTCCTATTTTCAGTAATTCATCAACAATGTCCAAACCAGAAGACAGACGATGATACCTGAACAAAACCACCTATTCAACATTGGATTCAAACCTTTTGAACTAACTATATACACAAAACATATTTCACTCCATTTGAAGCGAGATTACTATTTTGTGGCCATAAATATGTTTTTTAAAATACTGCCACACCAGCTGAATGTGTCACAATGAGTAGGACGAAGTACGTTAGGTCACTGTGTCATCTGTCCAGTTGATTCTGAGGCTACTGCGCAAAATTATAAGCGCATGGCCATAGTTCAAATTGAGGTCCAAATGCTAAATGCTGCATGAAAAAGGAACCTTATGTTCAGCCACACTATATTTCATTACAAGGAGGAGGTATAGCAGTTGTCTACAAGTGATGGAGCTTTGTATGGGTTCACAACTCCTACAGCTATATCAGACAATGTCCTACAGCTATGGTCAATACAGTCACTAGAGATGAACTCTACACTCTTACAGCTATATCAGACAATGTCTTACAGCTATGGTCAATACAGTCACTAGAGATGAACTCTACACTCTTACAGCTATATCAGACAATGTCCTACAGCTATGGTCAATACAGTCAGTAGAGATGTACTCTACACTCCTACAGCTATATCAGACAATGTCCTACAGCTATGGTCAATACAGTCACTAGAGATGTACTCTACACTCCTACAGCTATATCAGACAATGTCCTACAGCTATGGTCAATACAGTCAGTAGAGATGTACTCTACACTCTTACAGCTATATCAGACAATGTCCTACAGCTATGGTCAATACAGTCAGTAGAGATGTACTCTACACTCCTACAGCTATATCAGACAATGTCCTACAGCTATGGTCAATACAGTCAGTAGAGATGTACTCTACACTCTTACAGCTATATCAGACAATGTCCTACAGCTATGGTCAATACAGTCAGTAGAGATGTACTCTACACTCTTACAGCTATATCAGACAATGTCCTACAGCTATGGTCAATACAGTCAGTAGAGATGTACTCTACACTCTTACAGCTATATCAGACAAGGCTGTGAAGTAGCTAGGATCAGACAAATCAATGTCCTACAGCTATGGTCAATACAGTCACTAGAGATGAACTCTACACTCTTACAGCTATATCAGACAATGTCCTACAGCTATGGTCAATACAATCACTAGAGATGTACTCTACACTCTTACAGCTATATCAGACAATGTCCTACAGCTATGGTCAATACAGTCACTAGAGATATACTCTACACTCCTACAGCTATATCAGACAATGTCCTACAGCTATGGTCAATACAATCACTAGAGATGTACTCTACACTCTTACAGCTATATCAGACAATGTCCTACAGCTATGGTCAATACAGTCACTAGAGATATACTCTACACTCCTACAGCTATATCAGACAATGTCCTACAGCTATGGTCAATACAGTCAGTAGAGATGTACTCTACACTCTTACAGCTATATCAGACAATGTCCTACAGCTATGGTCAATACAGTCACTAGAGATGTACTCTACACTCTTACAGCTATATCAGACAAGGCTGTGAAGTAGCTAGGATCAGACAAATCAATGTCCTACAGCTTGAGCTATGGTCAATACAGTCACTAGAGATGTACTCTACACTCCTACAGCTATATCAGACAATGTCCTACAGCTATGGTCAATACAGTCAGTAGAGATGTACTCTACACTCTTACAGCTATATCAGACAATGTCCTACAGCTATGGTCAATACAGTCAGTAGAGATGTACTCTACACTCCTACAGCTATATCAGACAATGTCCTACAGCTATGGTCAATACAGTCAGTAGAGATGTACTCTACACTCTTACAGCTATATCAGACAATGTCCTACAGCTATGGTCAATACAGTCAGTAGAGATGTACTCTACACTCTTACAGCTATATCAGACAATGTCCTACAGCTATGGTCAATACAGTCAGTAGAGATGTACTCTACACTCTTACAGCTATATCAGACAAGGCTGTGAAGTAGCTAGGATCAGACAAATCAATGTCCTACAGCTATGGTCAATACAGTCACTAGAGATGAACTCTACACTCTTACAGCTATATCAGACAATGTCCTACAGCTATGGTCAATACAATCACTAGAGATGTACTCTACACTCTTACAGCTATATCAGACAATGTCCTACAGCTATGGTCAATACAGTCACTAGAGATATACTCTACACTCCTACAGCTATATCAGACAATGTCCTACAGCTATGGTCAATACAATCACTAGAGATGTACTCTACACTCTTACAGCTATATCAGACAATGTCCTACAGCTATGGTCAATACAGTCACTAGAGATATACTCTACACTCCTACAGCTATATCAGACAATGTCCTACAGCTATGGTCAATACAGTCAGTAGAGATGTACTCTACACTCTTACAGCTATATCAGACAATGTCCTACAGCTATGGTCAATACAGTCACTAGAGATGTACTCTACACTCTTACAGCTATATCAGACAAGGCTGTGAAGTAGCTAGGATCAGACAAATCAATGTCCTACAGCTTGAGCTATGGTCAATACAGTCACTAGAGATGTACTCTACACTCTTACAGCTATATCAGACAATGTCCTACAGCTATGGTCAATACAGTCACTAGAGATGTACTCTACACTCTTACAGCTATATCAGACAAGGCTGTGAAGTAGGTAGGATCAGACAAATCAATGTCCTACAGCTATGGTCAATACAGTCACTAGAGATGTACTCTACACTCTTACAGCTATATCAGACAAGGCTGTGAAGTACCTAGGATCAGACAAATCAATGTCCTACAGCTATGGTCAATACAGTCACTAGAGATGAACTCTACACTCTTACAGCTATATCAGACAAGGCTGTGAAGTAGGTAGGATCAGACAAATCAATGCCCTACAGCTATGGTCAATACAGTCACTAGAGATGAACTCTACACTCTTACAGCTATATCAGACAAGGCTGTGAAGTAGGTAGGATCAGACAAATCAATGTCCTACAGCTATGGTCAATACAGTCACTAGAGATGAACTCTACACTCTTACAGCTATATCAGACAAGGCTGTGAAGTAGGTAGGATCAAACAAATCAATGTCCTACAGCTATGGTCAATACAGTCACTAGAGATGAACTCTACACTCTTACAGCTATATCAGACAATGTCCTACAGCTATGGTCAATACAGTCACTAGAGATGTACTCTACACTCTTACAGCTATATCAGACAAGGCTGTGAAGTAGCTAGGATCAGACAAATCAATGTCCTACAGCTATGGTCAATACAGTCACTAGAGATGAACTCTACACTCTTACAGCTATATCAGACAATGTCCTACAGCTATGGTCAATACAGTCACTAGAGATGAACTCTACACTCTTACAGCTATATCAGACAATGTCCTACAGCTATGGTCAATACAGTCACTAGAGATGAACTCTACACTCTTACAGCTATATCAGACAAGGCTTTGAAGGAGCTAGGATCAGACAAATCAATGTCCTACACTATGGTCAATACAGTCAGTAGAGATGTACTCTACACTCTTACAGCTATATCAGACAATGTCCTACAGCTATGGTCAATACAGTCACTAGAGATGTACTCTACACTCCTACAGCTATATCAGACAATGTCCTACAGCTATGGTCAATACAGTCAGTAGAGATGTACTCTACACTCTTACAGCTATATCAGACAATGTCCTACAGCTATGGTCAATACAGTCACTAGAGATGAACTCTACACTCTTACAGCTATATCAGACAAGGCTTTGAAGGAGCTAGGATCAGACAAATCAATGTCCTACACTATGGTCAATACAGTCACTAGAGATGAACTCTACACTCTTACAGCTATATCAGACAATGTCCTACAGCTATGGTCAATACAGTCACTAGAGATGAACTCTACACTCTTACAGCTATATCAGACAAGGCTTTGAAGGAGCTAGGATCAGACAAATCAATGTCCTACAGCTATGGTCAATACAGTCACTAGAGATGAACTCTACACTCTTACAGCTATATCAGACAATGTCCTACAGCTATGGTCAATACAGTCAGTAGAGATGTACTCTACACTCTTACAGCTATATCAGACAATGTCCTACAGCTATGGTCAATACAGTCACTAGAGATGTACTCTACACTCCTACAGCTATATCAGACAATGTCCTACAGCTATGGTCAATACAGTCACTAGAGATGAACTCTACACTCTTACAGCTATATCAGACAATGTCCTACAGCTATGATCAATACAGTCACTAGAGATGAACTCTACACTCTTACAGCTATATCAGACAAGGCTTTGAAGGAGCTAGGATCAGACAAATCAATGTCCTACAGCTATGGTCAATACAGTCACTAGAGATGAACTCTACACTCTTACAGCTATATCAGACAAGGCTTTGAAGGAGCTAGGATCAGACAAATCAATGTCCTACAGCTATGGTCAATACAGTCACTAGAGATGAACTCTACACTCTTACAGCTATATCAGACAAGGCTTTGAAGGAGCTAGGATCAGACAAATCAATGTCCTACAGCTATGGTCAATACAGTCACTAGAGATGAACTCTACACTCTTACAGCTATATCAGACAATGTCCTACAGCTATGGTCAATACAGTCACTAGAGATGAACTCTACACTCTTACAGCTATATCAGACAATGTCCTACAGCTATGGTCAATACAGTCAGTA